ACGTCCCCTTGGACCCTCAGATGACCGCCCCCTCCCTGGGGAGACGCATCTGTAATGAGAGTCAGCGGATCTAGGGGTGTTCCTCTTTCCAAGTACCATGCGTCCTTCCGGCAAAGAAGGGCTGTCATCCCTTGGTCGGACGATTAAACCCTGAACGTCAGGTTCCGCATGTGGATCCTGTAGTCCAGTGAGCACTTCTGAATCGGAAGAGACCGGAGAGCTGCTAACGGAACCAGATGACGAATTGTAGTCATTTGCCAAAATGCTGCATCAGTTCGCGCATCAACACTGATCCCGTCAACCGGAGTTGGCTGGCGAGCTCTACCAGAGAGCCGCATCGCTCTTGCATAGGGCGAACGTGCCCATTCTCCGTGTCGAACTACATACCCAGAAAAACCAGGCTGGACGACGGTATTGGGTTGGACTTGGCAATGTTTAATAAAAAAAGCCCAACTCGTGCAGGAGCACCTGCGTCAACTCTGGTGAAACCATACGGTGCTGTGCACTGACAGAAGTACCGAAGCCGGTGTTTCCATCCTGAAGCGCTTGAGTTCCACAAACCGGTTCCGCCGACTGAGGTCTAGGACTGGACGCCAACAACCAGCGAAGGGCGTACTTACTACCTGGGCTGCCTTGCAGTTTTGGTTTGAACCATTGACCAGACGGACTAGCTACCTTGGCCAACAGAGACGATTGCTTCAATTGGATCCGCTGATCTTCCGTAACCACCCAACCGTTTACTGCATCCACTAACTGGCCCCTAAATAGCCGGTCACGCCCCCCCAAAGCCTTCTCCGCAGGAGATCAAACTCGTCTCCAAGGATAGGCACACAGACCCAGAACTGCCTCATGCTCAGCCGAAACCGCTCCTGCCAAGAGGACAATATGGACTTGCAGGATATCGCACATAGCGACTCTCTGCGCCGCCAGGAACTGGCCCATCTGCCCAAGGTTTGTTGCTGAGCATCCAGACAGTCGGAACTTAGCAAGGTGAGCTGACACTCTAATGCTAGAGAAACCCATTCTAAAAAAAGTTCCGCCCATAAAGCCCTATGTACTAGTAGGCTCTGGTGCCGGTCAAATGACCACAAAACGTGGCCTTCCCAATCTGCACTACACGCCTTAACAAAAGTATGGTTACCGGGACCCGTGGAGACGGCTGGGTTACCGCGCGAGTGTCCCACTCAGGGGAACCATCGACAGTTCGTGTAGCCCCAATGGGGAATTAATTGACCGAACGAAAGGCATTGGACGTGACCGCTTCGAAACCAGGTTCAAGCTGTTTGTCCTTTTCCCCTGAAGGGTACCAATAGCCCCCTCCAGCGCCCTCTGAGCCCCCTCCATAGTCTGAGTCACACGAGGTGCCCAGGGGAGTTGGCCGGCGGACGTAGTCTCCACGCCGGCAGTGAGAGAGGAGAGCGCCGAGAGGGAGATTTCCACTGGCCCGTGCAAAACAAGAGTCTCATGGCCGTCACTGCACGGTTCACAAGCTGCGACCTTAACTGCATATACAGAATATAAGGGAAGCTGGACAGCTGGGCTCCGGTTGGTTGGGTATCCTGTGACTGTCCCGCCAAAGTGGGGACGAGAAACGACAAAGCCCTTGCCCCCCTCCTGTCGGGGGTGTGGTCGCTGTCCCTCATAAGAGGGTTGCATACCAACACTGGAGCCAACCTGCTTCGCACCTGAGCCATAAATCACAAACCCCATTAAGGCAGTCCCTGTCCCTGACACAATTAAGACAGGGGTGACAACACATATGGGAGCAGAAGCGAATAGCAGGAAGAGCACGTCTTACGTTCCGTCTGAGGCGGGACGTTCTTCGTCTTTTTTTGAGACTTGGGCATATTAGAGTCCGCAAAAATTACGAAAGTGAGACAGAAAAAGGAACGAGTAAAAACCTTTACCGTAATGAGTCGATCACCACACTAGATACTGTGTACTCTAGATAACTGTAACCTGTCTTTCGTCGTGTTTGTAACGCAGAGCGTAAAAATATAGCAGCCGTTGCTAAGCAGAAACGAAAGGGAATATCGGATCACACCTCGTATGCGCGCGGGGTGGCCCCTTAAGGGGAGGTCTTTTTTTCTATAGGGAATGATACCCTAAGGTGTTCCATGTGAACAGGGTATATTACCTAATAGTTTCCGATTGGGGCTGTAATCTGTAGTTAAGCCTACGAGTACTAAATGGAATGTATTATTTCCACGGACTTTCGGGTAGGTGATGTAGTAAACTAAGACAAACGTGCATTTCTAGAAGTACTAGTGCAAAATAAAGTCTGTGTCCATCTTGTTGTTTTTTCTATAGAATGCACGTTTGTAAGAGTGGACTATTGCTTTTTTAAATAGTGTGATAACTTTATTTTGAATGTATTATATTCTACTATACCATTGAATGAAGTAAGTACACGGGCCGAATTTCACCATGCACAGAGTAGCTTATTGCTTATCTTATTTAATCCTTGACAAAACACATATCTTACCTGGTCTTTGGTGAGCTTTGTCGCAGTCAGGATATGTTTACCAACCAGGCCGTGATTTGGGTAATGAGGCAACAGCACAATGCCGGGAGCTTGTCCATGATGACTTGGCGGTGTGATGCTGGCACCGCGGAAAGGAACCACATTGTGCTCTATCGGTGTTAGTGGTGCCTCTGAACGGTTAAAAAAGCCCATTTTAGTACTGCTAGCAGATGGAAACACAGTGGGGGATGATGGAACGGAATGCAAGGGTGATAAAAGCGGTTTGTTAGTGGTTAAAGAAGGCAGACGAGACGACAGTGATGGTATTGGAAACGTAGGAGTGGGAGGTGGGGCATGAGGAATCGTATCAGAATAGAGCGAGTCTGAATGAGGAAAAATAGAAGATGATAGTATAGAAAGATTATGGCAGATTGTGCGAGTATGAAATAAAACCAAGAAATATACAAGTAAGTATATTGACATGTAATTTAAATAACGACATAAACAAGTAAACTCAAAGTAAACGTATACTGTTTGCAGTGGCTGACGAGAAGACGTGCAGTGATGTGTAGCGAGACGTTTTTGTGCTGTATGCGAGTGTCTATTTGTATCAGGCCAAGCAGTACACGTTTACTCTGATTTCACTTAGCTTTGACAATGCAGTGTGTTCAGTCTTTTACTTGCTTTACGCCCGTTTTAGAAAACAAGTTTTTTAAACATGCATGTCAACGGACGCATGATTTTTAACCATTTCACCAACAGACCTATCTTTTATCCCACCCAAATTATTTAGCACTTTTTTCTTGCATTCTTCAATATGTCTGGAAATGAACCCCATTTTTGGAGCCAACAGACAAAATTTTAGTCAATTTTCCCCAAAAAATTTGGCTATTTTTGTCCCAACATTCTGAAGGGAAACAAGTCATTGTCAATGACACGTCCCCGTTCCGTTCATATTTGAGTGACATATACATTCAAAGCAGATCATGACCGAAATGCACCTGCATATGTACAACACATTGTGCTAAATCTGAACAAAATCCATCCATGCATGACTGAGATCCGGTTCTGGAATTGTGAAAATATGTGATTTTGATGCATTTTCGGCCTTAAAATGGCCATCATTCCGCTATTGTTAAGCAGATCATGAAACAAATGCACATATCTATTTGTGACATGATGTACCATGTGTGTGTGAAGTTTGAACTTGATCAATCCAGACATGTCTTGGATACGGATCCAGAACTGAATTTTTTAACAAAATGGCCGCCAGTCGGCCATTTCGAACTTGA